GCCGGTACTGCGGTAGGTTCAAGGCTTTAGTTACACAAAGACACACTACCTTAGCCCCCGGCCATACTCAAAAGTTTCCAAATAGTCACCAAGCGAAGTTTAAGTCATTGGGACGAAAGAAAGCTCGGGGACTGCTGACTACCGAATAGACTACTGGGTGTGGGTGGTCATGGGTTTGAAGGTTATCCTTCTTTTTTAGTTTTAATTCCCCGCCGTCCAAGGTCCATGGTCCATGGTCAGTCGCGGGGTGGCTTGATCAAAAAGAATAGCTCCGGGCTGAAGCAGCGAGAAAATTAAAGTTGCATTCTATAATGACCCGAATAATAAAAACAGGATGAGTGTTGGCTTTATTTTACGCGCGAAATGACGATACAAACTTCTTTGTTCCCATGCCGCCGGGATATGGGCGACGTTCGGGCTCTTGCGCTTTTCTTACGCACGTAACTCTATCTCGATGGTTCCCGCCAATGGGTGGCTGTGCCTGGTCTGGACTTTTTTCGGATGTGAGTGTGTGAGTGGTAGTTTGGAGACAAGTCTGACAGAACAAGCTTTTGGCTTGTCGCGGGCTGGTGAGATGATCTAGGTTGCAGGTAGTCGGGGCGTTTTTTTCTTTGTTTCTTGGATTTTTCTCTCTCTCAACTACCGGAACCAAGAGCTGTCTTGGTGTCTGCCGTTCGGGGATGTGTACCTACTTCCTCTCCCCTTCGGAAGGCTGGACCTCCGTCGCGGGTGTTCTCCCGTTTGAACCTTGTTGGGAATGGACCGGCGACACTGTTAGTTTGGTTGTGTGATTTAGCCCGGTCCCCATGTCTTGGAGTAAGCTTGTTTGTTAGAGCTTTGTTCGACATGGCCGATTTGCTCTCTGTCGTCCGTCTTTGAACCACTAACCACTTTACCTCTTGGGAAGGCTAGGGAAGGCTATGTGGAGGCGCGGGGGATCATGGGGAATCCTCGAGTGCCGCGGGAGTGGTTTGTACACCTAGGTGTATCTGCTTTCCCATGAATGAAGATGTGGTTAGCTCACCGGGGAGTAACTCGATGCTTCGGCTGGTGGCTAGTCCCTCCTCGGAGATGTTGTAGCAGCTGGAGAGGAGGAAGCTAGATGAGCATGCTAGAGTTTTGTCTGGTTACTGTGGTCATGGACACTGCTGGCGGAGCTATGTGGAGAGTGAGACTGTCACGTACTCTATGGGAAATGAGTCTCGATTGCCCGATGACGGCCGTAGACTATCGTCTTACTTTGAGCTCTGCTAGTTCTGCCCAGTAGATTGGGAATCAGCTGTGTCTATTGTCAAACTTGGCATATTGAGGCCGAGGGGTCACGGCGGATTGGGCCCGGTTCCGGGTACACCGGCGTGACGAGGGGCTTTGATGAGGTGAAGATTGGTGAGAAATTCATAGCAGTTTCCACAGATGCTAGTAAAGTCCATACAATATGAGAGGCTCATACATATCCCAAGATAAGAGTGAGACGAAGCTGTATGAACGGTAGGGGCAGAGCAGTGGTAGAGTACTCACCAAGGCAAATATGAAAGAAGAGTACTGCTAGGACAGGACGCAATTCGAGCGATTCAAGCTGTCAAGCTCTCGGCCCGCTGGTCTTTGATGATGATGAGAAGACTACTTATCATTCCGAATGAGGGCGAGATCGACGGGCGCCGCTTTAACAGGGTCGACATTCAACATACTTACCCAGATCACATACCTCCTCCCTCCCCCCTGCTCTGGGAGATTTGTTGTTATTGTGCGGTCTTCATACTATGATGGTAGAGGGATGGATTTGAGATTGAAGGAGTGGCCACAACTGCCCTCTTGAGCGTCGTTCCCCCTATTAGATATCGTCGGCTGAGACCTCTTCACGCGCGGTATTTAAGGACAGGAATTAGTGTGGGGATTGACAAGGACCTCACTCCAACCCCTGATTACCGTTATCTGGTAAGGATGAATGTCAATGTGATGGGATCAACTGGGAGCAAGTGTGAGCTGGGTGTTCCCAGAGATATCGATCAGGCAAACTACCAGCCTCATGATAAAGATCACGGCGATTTCCATCTTCTCTCCATAACACCCTCCTGTTCGAGAGGGGAATTACGGCAGGAATACAATAGAAGCAGGTATGGAAGGAAGACGCGAATCAAGCGCATATGTATAGAAGATTTGAGATATATCTGTCGGTATTCCAACATTGGGGTCCCATCAAGCCTTTTTCCGAATCAGGACCCGTGGAAACGGAAGAGCATGTGCGCGGTCTATGCCTGCGGAGTTCTTTGACGGCGAGGAGAAAACGAGGTTGAGATAGGTCACCCTTACCATATGAATAAGTACCTTTACAGACCTCAATGACGCTTTTCTCGTCTTCTCCACGTTTCTGGCTCTCACGTTGCCAAGTACGTTTCTGGCGCAGTCGAGGAGAAGAATTGTGACAGGTTCCAGGCCACGTTCTCTCTTTCCTCGCCATGAGATTGACAGCATGATTGCATTTCTAGATGCGTTCCATTACGCTGTTTACGAAGGTACATTATCATTGTTTTCCCAAAAGCAGCCACTCCACCTGAGTTGGAGCAAAAAGTCGAACGACATCTACGACGTCTTCAAGTCCAGCTCGTGCTCACTGGTTCGCTCTGGCTGATATCGGATGCGCCCCAGACTCATAGACTCGATGGACCTCGGTTCCAGCATTGAATTGACGAAAGCCGTACCATAAAACGCGCCGAAATCACTTCCCGGTCCACGATTATCGTAGATGTACAGAAAGTGCGCCGGCACTGAGCATTGGGGCTTTCCTAGCTTCCGCCTGCATTTGCCCGTGTCCTCTCTGACTTGTATTTGCGGAATAGCTGTCATCTTGAAGTCTATCACGGAAAACTTTTGTAACCTGTCTACTTGAGCACCCTGAAGAGCCACCTTCGTCTTCTCGACATGGGAAGTACTTCGAGTCATCGACAAGCGCTAGTCCTGAGAAGTTGTTGCTCTATTGATTAGACTATATCCAGGATACATTATGGTTGTTCGCTTCGCTAGACAGGTTGATGGCCTCGCTTACTGTTGCAAACTTGTTCTCTCCATACAGCCGGCAAACTTCTGAGGAAGGTACCACTTCAACTACCATCTTTAACAAGAGCAAATATGGTTACTGTTCTTACTTTTGGCAGTGTAAGTAGCGTTGAAAATCCTCAAAATCCTCGTCTTTGGAAACCACACGAGTTGAGATAGCGGATGTCCAATCGATTGACGTACTTGAGCATGTTCTGATGATAAGATCGATGCCGAAGAGTGTTCGCTTACTATTTCATCTTCCTTTAGACCAATCAATCATCCAAACTCATGGGTCTTTCCTCCATAGTCATCTCTGTCAACAGTTTCACCACGACGGAATACTCAAAGGCCACGGAAGACCTGAGCTGGAGAGCAGATCGACCTGGAAGGTCTGATCGCCAGGGTATCTCGGAGAAGAATAATGGACAGCGCTATCAAACTTTCCGAAGTCACGTTCTAGGAAACATATCTTCTTTGAAAGAATAGGAAGCCTTGGCCGTCATCTGCTGTGCCAAGAAGAAAGAGAAAAAGTTCATTTGTGGAGTGTCCGCAGCCTCTTATATAAATCAAATTTTCGTCGGACACTTCGCGGCATCGAGGGGGAATGTCTCCTGCGCTAGTGTTGGGCACTATATTCACTGATAAGTCCTACCTAACGAATCTATTCTAACCAAAAGACTCAGATTTGAGCCATGGTACTCGGCGGGCTGAACCTGCTCCAGTTAGAAGAGGCCTCCCTATGGCTGTTAATCTCGGCAGTGAAGCCGAAGGGGTGGCGGACACACCACCTTGACGAGGTTGTTCGCGAGGAGAAGCAAGGGGTATGTCGTCGGCATACGTTACAAATAGATCTCCAAGCAGGTTGCCTCGATGTCATTCTATGGAAACAAGCGAAGCAGTCACGCGAGACGGCCCAGACACTGCCTAGAGGCTGTCCTTCCCAAGGGTACCGCAGAGCCGAGTCTTTGGTGTATTTCCTTCACGACGTACTACCAGCACGAATTTCGAGACTGGAAAAATAATCTCGTAGACTAAAGACCAAAAGAAGAGCTACTCTGCTTCATCCAGTACGACGACGGTAGGTATATTACTTACGCCACGTCGAACGCAAAGAGGCTCATGCAGACCAAGCGGAGGGCTTCGCGCCAACACCTCCTATCTCAACCGTCAATATGACACCGATGAGTCACCGTCACCCATAGACATCGATTACTTCCTACACTCCCTTATGAGTTTTAATGTACAGAGGTGACGCACTACACGACTATGTACCCTAAGAACCCCAGCGCATTTGATGACTTCAGTGTGCAGTATTCCTGCTTTCCGAACCTCGTCTAGATCACTACTCGCAACGTAAGTTGACCCTCAGCCCCATGGATGATCATTGCAATCGGTGAGATTATATTCATGACGCTTTAATTCAAACACACGAAGTTGTCTGAGCTGCAATCTGCAACTACCCATCACCAAATCTCTTCCGGTCATCAAGAACCTCTTTCTGATCCCGGGCCGCTGACCATGCCTCTACCTCATCCTCAACTACTTCCCCGCAAGAAACTTGGCATTGGAATAAGCTATATACGAAAACCCATCGCGAAGTAAACGCAAGACGTATCATTCACATCCCCCGAGGCATGAAGCGGGGTCCGAGCAACTGAAGTCGGACGACCCGGCCGCCCCGCCCCACCCACACCCCGCCCGTCCTCGGACTCGCCCGGAAATCTTATCTTATCACAACCCCGCCCCGCGCCCGACCACCCAGCGGCGCGATATCTGATCTTCGCGACGTCTTGCTCTCACTCTCACTCAAACCAACTCACCATCTATCTCATCATCCTTCTCATCCCATACTCGCTCCAGCAATACATACCTCTCCTCAGCCCCCTCTCACACCTCAGTCCTCTACACTCACCCATCTCCTCACCTCACCAGATCACGACAAGTATATCACGACATCCTCCAAAATGGAATCCCCCCCTCCCCCAGAACTCAAAATCTCCCCGCCGCTCCTAAACTCAGCAAACCCATGGTGCACAACCCTCACCGACCTCCTTGCCCTCCACGCCTGCCCACACACAGGCGCCCTCACAACACGAACCTCACTCCTCGCAGGCTTCGCCCACAACGACGCAACCCACCAATACGCCTTCTTCGACCCGTCCACCACAAAACCCTCCGCAGCACCAAACTCCTCCACCCCCGAAGCCCCCCGCTCCCAACTCGGACCCGCGGACGTCGCCTCCCTAAACAACCTGGGCTACTCTCCCTTACCCCTCCAAACCTACCTAGACTTCATCGCCCAGCTCCCAGAGACCCCCATCAAAGGAGGCCACGGCCACGGCCACCACCGCAAACTCCTCATCGTCTCAGTCACGGGCTCCCCCTCGGAAATCGCAGAATCCTACGCCCTCATAGCCTCCTTCTCCCACACGACAACCCACCCGCTCGCAATGGAAATAAACCTCTCCTGCCCCAACATCGCCACCGCCGCGCCCCCGGCCTCAGACCGCGCCCAGCTACAAGCCTACCTCGCCGCCCTCCCCCGGAACCCCGTGATTCCCATCGGCCTCAAGACGCCGCCGTACACCCACCTAGCGCACTACGCCGAGCTCATCGCCGCGCTACGCGAGGACTCCACCGTCGTCACGGCCAAGGCCCTGCTCAAAGTGCCTTGCAAGATCAGCTTCATCACCGCCGTCAACACGCTCGGCTCGTGTCTCTTACTCGAGGGCGGCGGCGGCGGCGACCCCCGACTTCCGGGGTCTGGACTCGGGGGCATGGCGGGGGCGCCGTTGCATCCGCTGGCCCTGGGGAACGTCAAGACTATTGCGGAGTTGGTCGGGCAGGAGCCAGAGTTGTTACATATCAAGGTCATTGGTGTCGGTGGCGTCTCGGACGCCGATGGGTTCAGGCGGATGAAGAGTGTTGGTGCGTACGCTGTTGCTGTCGGGACGGCGTTGGGAAGAGAAGGGATAGAAGTCTTTGAGAAGATAGCTACTGGACTGCAGAAACAATAAGTGCGGCCGTGGACAGCACATCGTGATGGCATGACGTTCACATGGCGAGACGCAAAGCTCATACAGTTGACTGTGTTGATGGTTAATCATAACTTTTATTCATTGAACATCATTATCATTGGGTATATAGCAATTAATATAAAAGGCTCGTAGGCCTGGTGTCGCACAAATAATCAAAACATATCGCTCGCTCATACTGTCTGAGATTGATGGGTATCGTTGCTCCCCTCAGATCCTTTGCTGGAGCTATTCTTTTCTTCAGAATGCTCTACTACTGGTGACGTAACGCTCTCGCCGTTGGTCCGCCCAAAGGGGGAGATCTTGCTGAAAATGCTGCCTCGCTTGCTCTTGGCCGCAATGGTAGACAGCGTTCGCCTGCGCCTCCCGAGTTGGCTGTTGATATCGATCTCATCCTGTCCGGAGACACGTTCCTCGGGAGATATGTAAGAGTGGGCAGGGTCGGTCATGGTCTTGGCGTCGCGCACAAAGGCAAGCCAGATGGGGTAAAAGCCCGTGAGAACGAATAGGGCGACGATGATGACGAACGAAAGCTGCACCGAAACGCCGCTGTTGATGACGGCGTAGACAATGTATGGGAAGAATGCTGCACCGGAGCCACCCATGGTGATGAAGGCAGCAGCACGCTTAGTACGCCTGCCTTGACCGCGGAGGCCGATGGCGAAGATCAAGGGCCAAACAGGTCCTTCGGCGAAGTAGAAGAGGATGACGGCAATCATCAGGAGGTTGGGGTCTGACGGCTGCAAGACAACAGTGAGGAGGGCGAAGAAGATGGAGAGACCAACGCTGATGGCCAGCCACGTTCTCGGTTTCGGCATGCGCGGGTTGCGCACCGAGAGGTAAGTCAGGTAAGCAACAATGAATCGCGAAATGGCGAAGACACCGTGCGCAATAAGGTGATAATCAGTGACACCTATCGTAAGGCCTGGAGGCTTGTCACTGTTTTCGCCTGGGTTTGTATCGGCATTCGTAGCAGCGATACCGCCATCCTCCTGATTGGGAAGGATGGCTATTGTGAACGCGCGGAAGAAAATATTGTTGCTTTCTTGGCAGGCGACATACGTCCACTGACCGAGGACGGCCAGGATCAAACTCCACGTGCGCAGTTGCAAACCGCCAATGCTGCGCTTTTGGGGATTGACTGGAAGCCGGTCTGCCGATTCTTGCAATTCGTTGTCGTTCAACTCGGGGAGCGGCATGTAGTAGAAGAAGAGGCCGAGGGCGACGCAAAGCAGTGTGATGGCGAGGTATGTCCATTGTACGTTCAGAAGCGTCACAGAGTCTGATCCACCCTGATTGGTGATCTTGGTGAAGAAGACTCTCTGGGCCATTAGGCCGCTCAGGACGGAGCCTACACCCTGGACGCCTTGGGCGAGAAGCAGTCGTGTTTCTCCGTATTCTGGCGGCCCGCAGAGAATCAAGAAAGCATTGGCTCCTGTCTCGAGGACAGACAAGCCAAAGCCTACCACGAAGTTGCTGAGTAGGAAACCGCCCCAGGACTTGGTGACAGCGGATGGCCAAAAAATGATGGTTCCGACGCCGTAGAAGCAAAGCCCAACGATGAAAGTGACCTTGAAGCCACCAACACTTTCCGCATCGCGTTTGTTCTTGCGGTTTCTTCGATGATGCTCATCCCGCCTCAGAATCCACTCCCCCACCAGCAAGGGGCCAAAGAAGTAACCGCCCCCAAAGTAGGCCGTTGTGAGGCCTAGAGTCTGAGCAACGGTCATTCCTGACACCCCGGAAATGACATTGTTGAGAGTGTTGAGCAGACCGTAGGAAATGCCCCACATTACAAATAGGATTGTAACCACCAGGCAGTATCGGAGTGATTCTGGAGCGTCACACTTGACCATACTCTTGGGGCGCTTCATGTTGACGAAGCCAAAGTAAATGGTGTTTTCTCTGCTTGTTGCAATAGAGGCTCTGTTGGCAACGCCACCGATCCTTCCGGTGGCCTCGTATTCGGCTAATGTCATGTCTGGTGTTGTCAAGAACTCGAGTGCTGTCATGTCGCTTCCATCTGCGTTTGCCGCTGCGCCCATATCTCGGCTGGCACGATGTGTTGCCAAGGGCTCTTGAATGTTGACTGAGCCACGGTAGTTCGGACTTGTTGGTGATACCAGGCCGTCGCTCCCGGTGCGATTTCTAGGGCTGTCTAGAGCGTCCTTTTCGGTCTGTGTGCTCGATCTTGTTCCGTCCGGATCGATGATCATGGCAGGCAGAATTTTGATGATCAGTGGCTTCAAAGTAGGAATACACGCGCAAGCCATTCCCACGTTGACCTCGACGGCTGACCACATGAACGACAAGGACGAGTTCCAAGCAAAGTCGGGTGTGCCACCAAAGTGAGAACTCGGATCGCTAGACACGCCGCCGGTCGGAACCGAGCTGACGGCTTGTTGTAGGTAGTAAATTCGGACTACGTCCACAATTGTGACGAAGATACCGATAGTGAAGGTGAGTACGAGAATGATCTTTTGCCTCGGTGGCAATCTCATACCTGTGAGAACAGGAATCGGTAAAGCTAGGATGGCTAGATCGGTTACGATGTTGATAGGAGCAGAGCAGATGAATTCCGTGAGCAGCGGGATGCACCGTGAAGTATCCCGCCAGATTTCCCATGCTGCCTGAACCGGCCGACATTGGAAGATGTTGATGAGGGTTAATACAGTGCCCGCTAGGTTGACGATGCCCAAAGTCACCCAGGACGCAAACCGAAGCACCTTTTTCGTGTTTTTTGAGAGGCGGAGGTAGAAGATCAAAATGCTGGTTTTGGTCGCCATCAGGGCGGGATTCTGCGAATGTGTAAGTAATGCACCGAAGCCAGTGTCTGTCAGCGCGACAGCAGTACTCACATAGAGTATTGAAAAAACATATTCGCACGCTCGCAAAGAATTCCAGTGGCCCGAGGGTATATCGTCGTCGTAGCGACCCAAGCCTTTTCGTGTACCAAAGCAAATGGTGAAGGATAATCCGAAGGCGATCATCCAGGCAAAGAACATAATCTTGTCGTCCCAGCTAACATTTCTGACAATCCATCGCCGGCAAAACAGACGGGCAGCAACCATGACACTCGCTAAGACGAATGTTGCGGCTGTCACGGCAAAGACTGCCGGACCGCGATCCGGGACGCTATCATCTGCGGCATCGGCAGGTGACATGCTCGGCGAGAAGTGGCGACCGACCTGGGGAACTCGAGGGAGATTCACCACCACGGAGGTTTGGCGAGAGGTGTAGGGTGGTTAACTAGACACCAATGACAACCATGCCATGGCTTTGGGCTCTGACACATGGACGCAGTCGAATGGGTTGGTGTTGGCGCGCAATTTCGCTCGATATCGAAAACCTCGGATGGATAGGGTCGGCGGTGGTGCTACTATTCGCGGGGTGAGATCAGAAAAAAAAAAGCGGAGGGGGCCCTGAAAGCTGTACTTTGGCGGATTCGAGGCGTTTTGGGAGAAAAATTCGGGGTCGGGTGAATTCGTCAGTGCTGAGTGTTAAGTCCTAATGAATCGGGCGGGACGGCAAAAGGCTGGAGTAGGGAAGTCGTGAGTAGTTTGAGCGTCGGGTAGCAGTCGTCCAATCCTTCTAGCTGCAAGCTCGCGCGAATATCTTCGTAACCGGCAGTTCGAGTGGTGTGTGATGTCCGACAAAGCCGCGGCGCGTAATTGGCAGGCACGGATGGCGCAGCGTCATACAAGCCGTTGGCGAGGTTAGCGGCAGTGTAGGTAGGCGAAGACGGCCGGCAAGAGCAAAGGTAACGTGGGTGCTGGCCGTAAGCGAGGGATACGGACAGGGCCAGCGGGAGAAGCTCTGAATGTTTGACGGGAGGAAGAAGAAGAGGGAAAGAGAGCCCAGATAGAAAAGTCGAAAATGCGGGATGAGATAGTTGGAGCAAAGAATGACAGACAGCTCTGTTGGAGGCGAGGTAAACCGTAAGTGATGCTGGGCGCCTCCTCTGCAGGCTAATGCTTGTCTAAGGTGTGGGTGGTCACTGTGGTGTTGGCAGCCGTTGCAGAGTTTTCCGATCGAGGACAAAGGCGAGCCGCGATGGAGATTCGTAGTTCTGGCGAAAAGATACTTCGGTAGGTACTATGGAGTCTCTTGGGGGCAATGGAGCATCTAAGTGGATGACGATGCGGATTGATGGGGACCAGAGGCAGGGCGGTCGTGGCGGGCTGAGCTCGAGGGAGTGGCAGAGCGAGATTGGTCGTGGGCCCTTTTGAGACTCCAGTACTCCGTCCTCCGTACCGCGGGAATCCACCGTGGCGGTGACTGGCAATGGTCACTGGTCGACTGACTTGGTTGACTGAAGTGATGTGGGATACCTTGGAAGACAAGACGTGGAGGACGGGTGGTGGTGGTGACAGGCTATCCGTAAGTTCTAACCGTCTGGACGGAGTGATTGAATTAGGTTCAAAACTACCCGTTGTGTGGTGCATACTAAAAGGTATGGTTTGATAGGCAAAAGGCAATAATGTGCGTGACGGGTCGGGTCGGTGGACGAAAGAAGTTGAAAGAGGCGGGAAAATCAAACGGTGTGGTGCGGCGGTGGAGCTTCCGCAGGTTCGGCGGTGCGCATCGGCGTGTTGGAAGTTTCGAACTCCTGTCAGACTCAGTCTTTTCTCTTTCTCTCTCTGCAAACCTTGTGCGAGGACGGGAGGCAGAAGAGGAGGAGAGACGGAAGAAGCGTTGAGTTCGCGCCAGTTCCAGTGAGAGAGATTGTGAAGTGCCAGGTAAGCAGGCCTCGGGCGATACTTGGCGACTGGGTGCTTGGTGTTGCGAGTTGAAAGTACCCACGGCGTATGGAGTACTTGGCAAAAAAGAATGGAATGCGGCGGGCTTGCAGTAGCGTAGACACAACTCCGTACCCTTGACACTCCGTACGGACTGGCGTAATAATGGGCGGTGGGCGATGACATAGAAACGTCGATCCTCGGCGCCCTGCAAGCCAATCAGCCATCTGGTCATGGCGGGTTTACCCCAGATTCTGGACCTTTTCGGGCCAAGTTGGACGAAGATTCAATGGGACTCCTCCCACCCGGACCCAGGCACACCCAGGATGAGACTGTGAGACGAGTAAAAGCTTCTTAGCCTCCTCCATCGCTCTCCTCCATGATCCATCTGCAAGGATGCAAGAGGTTGCAGGGGCTGCGAGAGGGGAGAAAAAGAAAAGGGCAAGAGAGTGTGAGAGTGTGAGAGAGAGCATTGAGCGGCAGGTGGCTCGGGAAAAGGCGGGATCTGTAGTGTACCTTATCCGTAAGAAACTTTGGACAGGAACTTGTAAAAGCAATCCAATGTCTGTCTGTATCAAGGTACCTTACCCAATACCCCCATCCGTCAGGCAAGGTGAGCGTTCCCGGAGCCGAGAGGGAAGGGAGGGAGGCCTTGAGATTTGGCAACCTTGAAAGCGAAAGAAGCCAGTCATCCGCTCCACCAGATCAACCCACTCGAGAGAATTACTAAGGATGACTGCCCACAAAATCGTTGACGACTCGCAGCTTCCCCCCTTTCCCCTCAGTGGCCTCTGTTGCGTGACTCCGTACGAAGCAGTGGAAGCCTCCCGCTTTTGGCCCATTGAGGGTGTGAGTCCGAAGTCTTGTCGTCGAGTCCTGGAAAGCAGGATCCGGCTCATTGGGAACGCCAACCTAAAATCAGTCGACGGTTTTGCCACACTTCACCCCTCCTCCTCATCCGAGATCCCCTTCCCTGCCTTGGAGCCGATGCCTCTCTCTGGCTTGTCTATCTGCCTCGGCGAAATCGTGATGCAATGTCGAGGTATTCCGCGGAGAGGCAGGAAAAAATACGCAGGTGTGGATAGTGTACTATGGAGATAGGCGTGTATCCGGTAAGAAAATACCCTTAGCAGAGTGGAGAAACGTCACTTCGTTCCGTGTTTCTATTTACGGCATCAGAGGACGGGACATTGCGAAAGGAAGTGAGAAAATTAAAGAAGAAGAAAAAAAAAACCCCCTTCGCCGAAGCAATGCCCGAAAGCCGATGAGTGCCAAGACTCTTGTTGTCCAGGCGTTCAATGCGCGCTCACTGCTCAGTGCTGTAGCCTGTAGCCTGCGGTGGGCGTGGCCACTGGCAGATGCTTGGCTGATTGCGAAGTGCGGTGGACAACCTGAAAGTCGAATGCAGCCCCCAGCATGGCGCGATAAATGGACCGAAGGACGGGCGGGCCTCGCTGGACCATAAACTTGCCAAAGCGGGTTGATATGTGATCTGCGGCCTGGCAATATCTGCTTTACCCAAGCAGCGAATACGGACCCCTTTGTCGATCGATTGGAGGGGTTTGAAAAGAGGAGGTGAAGCCTGAATGAAGCTTGAAGCCTGGAGGAGTGAGTGGGAGGAGCCAAGGAGCCACAAGAATGCAGGACAGCGCGCGACGCAGACACGGCATACAAGTATGGGCAATCGCGGGCCAGTAAGAAACGGTCGCTTGCACGGCGAGGGATGCCCGCAAGAGCAGGTGCCAGCAACACTTTTGGGAGCAAAAACCGGAGAGCATTTGCAACCGCCCGTTTATGACAATTGTAGTTGGCACAACAGAAAATGGCACCTCCCGAGGTTACCTAAGGTACTTAGGTAAGGTACCTACCTACCTAAGGAATAAACGAACCTGGAAGGAACGAAGAACGGGACGCTTGGTGGTGGTGACGGTTTTCTGGAAACTGCGGAGGAACCCACAGACATTCTGGGCAGGCACTTGGCGTCACTCCAGGTGTTCCTGCTGTATCTACTTGGGTTTGTCCCTCACGTGTACGGAGTATTCATACGAATATTCGTAAGGAACCTTACTATCTTCCATCGCCATTTGCCTCCTCGCTTTCGGAACCATCAATTGCGGTTTGCCCAGCATCCATCCATCCCTTGAGGTTTCAATTGACGTACATCTGGCAAGGAACGTGGTGTCGATAAAGTTACCGACAACCCGTCACTCTACCACAGTACACGTCGGCCAAGGCAATCAATCGAATGCGATGTCACCTTCAGCCACGATCGGTATTTGCTCTTCCAATGAGAGTGTCCGACGTCGCTCGTCTTTGTTCTGCGCCTTCAACGGCGGCGCATGACGTTGCCTCTTGAATCTTGCACCACCCCAGGTGCCCAGCCGCCATCGCAACAATCCAATTGTACGAATACCTAGTGTAGCCGACCTCTCTCGAATTTCGGCAACGGTTCATCTACATCCCCATCTCTCCACGGCCACAGTGCCACCACCCTTCCGTTTCCGGATCACGGTTTGACCAAAACCAGACAATGAACCCGCCCCGTCCTTTCTTCTAGCACTTTTGCCTCTGCAACAAGCTCACGGTGGCGTCCGTGCCATAGAACAGACAGCGCACAAAGACCTTGCGGGCCTCTAAACCATACCTCGGCTGACCTAGCTGCGGTCTCACGGTCCTTGCGTTATAGTCAATTCAATCACTCTCATATTCGAGAGCTTCAACCATGTGGCCGAAGTAGTCTGCCCGGTTCGTGAACGAATTGCCACTGGGAAGCTACCGACTTTACTACCAACCCCCCGGCTCGAGTCAAGAGATCACCCTCTTCCGAAACTGAACCTCGTCAACATTATGCCCGTACCATGGGGAAACAACGTCATCCGAACCGTTGCAAAAGAACCTTCTTGCGATCTCGTTGTATCAATCCCACGTCCGAGCACAACCCCCGATCCTGGACTCCGCGGCAGAATGTCCACTCGATCAACCTACCCTGGGCCAGCAGCAGTCTTGGGAACTTGAGAAGTCGAGCCTCAGCAAGTAATCAGCGATAACTTCCTGGTGCAAACTGTGACCACGGCCCGCACCAGATATCGGATCGTCAACTTTAGCCCACCACGTAGTTTCCACCAACTGCAACCCAAAAGTTTCAAGATGATCACCTTGAGGAAATTCGAACTGGGACTTTTAGGACGGCCAACCTTTTTTTTTGTTGTGGTATATTGCTGTCCACCGGCTGCTGTGCACCTTGGTACCGCCGTTACTGCAACAAACTGGATTGATGTTAACGCCAAGCATTTTCTACGGGCTCTACGAGTCAGTCTCCGTGGAAGCACCCAACCTCGTACGAGTTTGACCCCCTCCAAAGACTTCCGATGCCAAGAAAAATTGGCAGCTGTCGATGGAGCAAACGTAATCGGTGCGCTCACTACCGCCGGCAGGCAACCTGCTCGATGTCTGTGCCATACGAACTCACGGTCAATGTCCGTCTCGCTGCTACTAGCCAGATTAGAGCAGGGCGAACATACTTCCTAATGCGATCAAGAGAGCCTTTGACAGGGCGGTTGAGAGTTCCCAACCGTTACAAGCATACCCACACAACACATGCTACGCGCACGTTTCTACGGCAGTTGCATCCCACAACCTACGATACTGTCTGAAACTTTTGAGCAGTTCAATCGCTGCGCTGCCTCGGCCTTCCATGACATCAAAAACAGTATACAGGACTTATTCGGTCTACCATGCGGTAAGGTTTCCCAGGAGCCTCCATGTAATCACGTTTCTTCTCAGTGCCAAAAGTCGATCTTTCTTTGATTTGGCAGAAACAACCCGACATTGACGGATGCAGTGTAGGCAAACAAGGTCCCGTATTTTCGCATGGCAACATGGCACATTACGATTAACGCCTTATATATCCACACTGAAATAAGCTATCATATCCAGTAAAGGTAATCGCGATCTTCCGTCTTACGTATATAGCGGAGTCCTTCATGGGTATCGTAATGACGGGTTCTTCACAATCACGACTCCAGCCCATATGCTCTCGGACTAACCCAGCCACATGCTTTACTGCCATCAAGTATTGAGCCTCGCTACTGTAACCGGTCGACTTCATCTGACTCGTGATAGCGGCTATTCATCCCTACCTTAGTCAACCAAACAAAGTTTCGGGAGCCAACCCGCAACTTTCAGCCACCCAATGGGCAGCCCGAGTTGCCAAACAACTTGAATCTTCGAGTCAGCTTCGATGTTTTGGTCTCTGCCTCTCGTGTTTCGCTCGCACGTGTGTTATATGTGACTGAGAAGACTATTTTGGAGTGAGAGGCGGGATTCAGAGTCAGCTTCAGCCCTACGGTAAGGAAAATCGACCTGATAGCTTGTGGCAGCATTGCCCGCTACTTCTTGGACTGGCCTATGACCAGAAGCTTGTATTGCCTGAGTTTACGAGGTACTGGGCAGTCTGGTTATTTGCCTTCCGGGTTGCCGGCGAATAACTTTCTGCTATAGGAAAGTCTTGCCGCATTTAGTTGAGTTGAGACTCTGTTTCCCTCGCGTCGAGGAGTGAGAGACTGCGAAAGGGTTGCGTGAACTAAGAGTACATGTGTGTAGTCTTGCAAGACTACTAACCGCAAAACTAGGTTCGGAACTCACAACGGCTAAGGAAACGGCAGGGCTTTTGATATCTGAGCTTGATTTCTCTTGGTGCTTGGTAGATACGTATACTGAGGATGATGTAAGTGGGTACCCTAGGGAAAGGACTGCAAGTCTCTCTATTTCTTGTCGGGCCATTTCTTTCGAACGACTTGGCTTGGCTGGAGCCTAACACTCCCTCGTTTTCTTCTTACCTGTTTGATGGTAGCCCTTCAAGATTCCCGTTTTCGCAATACTTGCATTGAAACTTTCTTTCGTGTCACTGGAAAACTCGATAATGGATAGGGTACGTTGAGACCTCTCTATTGAGGCTCGAGGTACAGTGGCTGCGTAGTTGGGGTGCTGGATGTACATTGAACCGGTCTTTTGAGATGCCTCTTCGTTTGGTCTTGTAGTCGGCCAAGAGGCTTTCGACACGGAACTTTTGGCACTGCTACCTGCCAGAGACCTCCCTCGCGGATATCAATCAACTAGTCATGGCTTCATTCCTCCTAAAGCTTTGCTATCAACGACACTGAAAAGATGAAGTGACTCTCGTGTTTTTTGGGGTGAAAAAGGCGAAATGGACATGTCTCTTGAGTGATAAGTTCTGCGTGTTAATTACGGTAGTCATGTTAGCTTCTCATCGTCTTTCTGGCTCTAGTAGAGTGAAATCGACCCACGCATGCTGTGCCCGTCTTTGGAGGACAAGACAGCTGCTGACAGTTCTCATGCGTACCGAACTTGGTCAAAGGTGATGGCTTCTCCTTCATCGGTCCCCGGTGCCGCGTAACTTTTCTTCCTCATGTGAAGTAGCTCGAAGTCTTGGTCACTGCATCTTGGATGGCCCTGTTCACGTCACGTCAAGAAGGCGAGAAGGGGTCACGGTCACACATAACCAGTGAAAGTCGAGTTGAGAGCCGCAATTCCAGTCCAGCCGCGTTGGAAAGTTGTCCATTCACATATATATACCTTACTTGGGTACGTATTTTGCCGCCAAGGAGGGTTTCACATCGTGATGTTGTAGCCTAATGGGCGCTTGCTGTTCATCGTTGTTGACTCAGAGCCGGGCCTATGATTCCAGTCGGCTCGAGCCACGTGAAGGGGACGTTATGTTGTGTCACTTCAACCCGGTCTATGTCTTAGTCGCAGGTTACTTGCTCTTTCATTGTTCCATCGCGCAAGCAATTACAAGTATCGCTACAAAGAAGAATCCTTCCGCCATTAGGTATGTGAAGGTAAGTAAGTAAGTAGGTGATGTTGACCCTATTGATCACGGGAATCCCCAACCGCGACACACCTGGGGGACATGGCCTGACTCATCTTGCATTCCTCACTACTATATCGTAAAAGGCACGCACTATACGAGCCTTCCTGGCTGGTTACTGATTTGCTGTAGTCAACAGTTGTGTTTATACCCGTGCCATAATCGCCGCGTTCATCATTCAATACTTAATACTTTCTTTCCCATGGAGACGAGCAGCAGATTTTGACATCAAAGTAAGTTATTGAGTCTGCCCAACGGACGCTAGAGGAGATTTTGCGGCTGGCCACTTAGATAGATCCGTCAACTCGACGCAACTGCCCGCTCCTCATGTACTCGAGAACGGTTTGATCGGATCCTTCGCATCGATGCTAAGACGGAGATTTTAGGGTGAAGAGATGAAGCTGGTAACTGGACCGGAGGTGGAAATTACGGGATCTTCTGGGAGGTATCCTTCGTAAGTACCTACATTGACATGAATCAGTTGCTGAGAAGCTTGCGATATTACCGTCTCTCGATAGTTAGGTCTACTGTGGTAGCCTCTTGGCCGTGGAAGCAAGTTAGATGTAGCCATGCGACGAATTCAACGGTGAGTGTAGAAGCAGTGGAAAATTTTGGCCACGGTACAAACTCTCTATAGTATTGCTCCCTGATGACTTGTATGGTGATGGGTGAGCTGACTGGACATCTATGAAATGCGAGGAAGCATCTGGAGATGGTGGAAAAGAGGTCGAAGGATTCGGAGTCAAGTAACTCTGTCTATATCGATTCATCTACATAAGCCGGCCCCCAAGCCTCTTTACGACGCTCACGGCGGTCAACCCACTATCTGTACAGACAATGTTCAGAAACCTTCCCTACTCTTCTTCTATCCTAAGAGATACCGTTAAACAGTACGTGAATATCACCAGGAATCCCTTCCAACATGCTCTCACTGAAAGGCTGCGTCTTACCTGATCGGCTGTGCTTCCATAGAGATATGCGCTGCTTGAGGGCGAGGCGAAGCTCAGGGTACATCTTTGTTCCGGAACCCACCCGACTTGGTTGCTTTCCGAGGCACTTGCTGAAATATTCGATGCCGTGCAATCAAGAAGTATGGAAGTGGCTTGACTGGCCGTCTCGATTTTGCTGAGATACGATAAGGTCCACAGCCGATGCTGTTCTGCTCATGAGTGATTCTCTATTTTTTCTGCCACCGAATTTGTTAATGCCAAGCTGAGAAGCGCATGGGTACAGATATCACTGTCGGAGTTTCAGAATAATAGACACGACCTGATGGGAAGTAGCAGGATGATATCCTCATGCCTTACGAATCGAACTACGGAATACCGCGGTGTGCCTTGACAACCAGCGAGGACATTTCTATTGACCTTGAAACTTGAGGTGGCGACCCACAAACTTTCTAAGCAACATGATTTATACACTGACGAAAGTGCACTACTTTGATATAATGAAGCCTATAGTCTCTTGTAAAGAGTCTTCAAAGTCGTGAGACCAAGACCAAGCGCATGCCCAAGTTGGCGTGGTCGGAGCAGGTTTTCCACCGAACAAGTAGAACTTGAAGCTGCATGAAGAAAGAGCAGCGCAACTTTGCGGCAAGGCTAAATTCATTGAATCGTGTTATGGGAGACTCTAGTGTACATTCCCTTACGCCACCATCAACTAATCACCCGTACGTAGCCTTTGACAATGGAAAATGTCGGGAGCTTATCCAGTTGAGAGATGTAGATGAGAAACTCATTTTCTCCCGAGCAATCATGTCTCTTGAATCTCTATCATAGTCTCGATTCTCTCTTCTAGGATCGAATGAAGGGATGACTGTTAGCTACAAATCCTCGTGCCTCTTGCCTGAGATACGAGAGCTATCGTAACTATCGCCTATCAGCGGCATAACGTCTAAGCAATCTTCCTTGAATGTATTCAACATACCTTATAAAGCCGTCAAGTCTCAGATAGTCTACTAGGATCATAAAACCAGGGCCGAGAACGTTCTAGGTACGGTCATCAGCCATAGTATCTGTCACACCAAACGGCTTACTCGCAACCAACCAGCGTCATCAAACCACGATAGACACCTCATCGCCGCCTTTGCTCCCAATCAACCTCACCCAAACCCATATATACCCCCCCCCCCCCCCTCTCAGACCAACCTTTTCCCCCGCAAACCCCACGATGTAGCATCACGTCGTACAACCTTCAGCCCCAGACATTCCAAAGGATGAACAACCTCCGAACCAACATCCCAAATACCACATCGTCAAACCTTCCTCAATAACAGGCACCCCGTACTTGAGTATCATGCACGACGCGCGCCGCCGATCCTGTGGGTGATACTCCCCCGTTCGACCTCCGAAGGTTACTCAACCCACGGAAAACCAACATCAACCAGAAGACGACCTCCAGCCGTCCGCCGGTTCCTTTTCCACCCGTCCATTCGCCCAAGAACACTGGTCTCGCCAACCAACACACCTGTGACCTTAATCCCTCTTCCTATTGATCCTTCTATAAGACGATCATCATATCAAACTATCCTTTAAATGCCCCCGCCTCTCAGCTGAACAAACACCCCCAGTCATAAGCGCTAAACCCAACAGAGAACGAAGCCGTCTTGGAGCCATTGCTTCTTCCATTCCCCCGCCTTTTCTTCTCTATTACCATCCGTACGGATACTGTATCTTCGGTCTCGCTTTAGTGCGAATACTACCTCGTCTGTCGTACACGGTATCCGTACAGCACTCACTTGCTGACCTCGCCTGGGAGTAACCCCAGGCCACCCCAGACTAGCCACCGCCAATCCCACCTCGTTTTCGAATGTAGGTACGGAGTACCCGCACTCCCGGTCACGTCCGGATGGTCCTCAACCCCAACCTCAATACCACCTCATTACCAAACCCCATAACATCCATAAGAAAAGCCGTGCTATATCCTCCCCTTTCCCCTCTCCACTCTCGTCACCGCCGCCGCTGCCGCTGTCGCTTCTTCCCTTCCTTCTACTTAAGGGCCTAAGATGCGACGGCCCGGTGCTCCGTGACAAAAAGAGACAAAAACCAAGAACAACAACAGAACGTGCCAATTATGTCCCATTCGCCGTGCTAATTTGCCCCTCCCTCCCTCCATCCAACTCAATCGAGGAGCCATGTAACCACGGAGCCGCATGCACCGTCCCTACACACCCTCTTCTTCATCAACGCATGGGGGGGGGTTGGGTTGGAAAGGGAAAAAGAAGAAGAAGAAACCATGATCTGCAAAGAAAGCACCTAATTCATGTGCCATCATTCTTCTTTCTCACAAACACGTTCCGACCCGTCTGCCTAATACCGAGGCAGGGCTTGGCTTGGCCGTGGCTTTTTCACACAAAGCGTTGTTAGCATCGATTGCCTACTAGGTATCGCAGGTTTACCCGTTACACAAAGTACGGGCACGAGACCAATCCCTCTTTTCCCCTCAATTCCCCTCAATTCCCCTCAATCCTTTTCGTTTCTCCCCCGCAATGCGCCACATTTGCTGGGGGACGGGGGGTCTAGAGACGCACCTCGGTATTCGCAAGCCCGTCCCGCCGAGGTTCAACCAAAATCCATCCCCCCTTCCCCGGACTAGCCCCAAGACGCCAGGCCATTTCAGATATTGCTTCCTGTGTAGTGATCAAATGCCAAGGTGAATCAACAACTAGCATGTCTGCCTGTAGATATGCTCTATGGAGTACTGGGAATCCGGTGAATGTAGCTACCTATTTACACAGAGTCCCTCCCTTGCCAATGTTCATCTCCACGCGTGAACCAACATCCATGGTCTTGGCAACGTAGATGCCGTAGAAAAGATATCTCGGGGAATAGTGCCATACGTCCAGAAACCGTAGTACCGTAAACCGGGGATCTGATCGGAACAGACCGATGCGTTTGAACGGCGTACAACGGCGCCATGCCGGCATTCGATTCTCTTCTTCTCTCACCGCTGTACAGGGTGTTGATGTTGGAATCATGTCAACTGGTGGAGAGTCTGACAAGGAATTATGATATTTTTTTTGTGAATTTGTTTGAATTGTTTGTGACAGGCTCTGATAAGCGTATACTTGGACGAGTCTCGAGCTCTCGAAAGCGCAAAACACCAGACCTAGGCGGGCCACAACAGGGCCACATGAGTTGCCCCCGTATCGAGACCCGCCGCTCAGCGACCAAGAATGGTAACCTCCTCCTACTCTTTGAAACCACAAAGACTCTCTTCCCGGTGGAGAAGCCCTGAGCCAAGAAGGCATGGTCTCTGCGTGCTTATTATTCATCTTACACGTCCCCGAGTAAACAGTTGACCCGAAACTCCCACGCATGCTAGATCATTCCTTCATCAAGAGCTTCCCCAGAAGTGCCGTTTCCGTCCTCATGAACCTTTTGTTTTTTCGTTTCCAAATCTCTAAATGATGACCGCTGCCCTCAGGTGTTGACCCCAACATCCAAAAGAAAATCGCGTTCCGATAAGGAGGTATCGTAGTGCGGGACGAATGACTGCGGCGTTGACTGAGCGGCCGGAACCGTATGAAACCACTGAATCGTACAAAATCCTACTGCGACGCTCCAGTACCACCGAAAAAGAAGTCAAGCTCGCTGCCTGGGCCCCGAGCGAATTGGTGCTCATTCTCTGCGAGTTGCTCCAGGAGGCTTAAGAATGGGTCCTTCTCCTCACCTGGGCCGGTGCCAGTGCTTCCGTTGTTGCTCTTGTTTCCAGGACTGGGCGCGGCGACACCGGCTACCTTGTTTCCACCTTCGTCCCCATGCCACGCGGCTGGACTACCAAAAGCATTTGTAGGCAGCCCGCCGAACATGGGGTCATTGTAGTTGCCCCCTACCTCATTATTCCCGCTTGCACCCGGTGTAGCAAAGCTGAACTGCGGAGAGAAGGAGTTCGAAGAGAGCGCCGGCATGTTGGCTTGCTGGTGACTCTGAGGTCCGAGGGAAAAGCCTGCCGCTGCCGCCGCCGCCACAGCTGCGTTGTTGGCCGCAGCTTCGTCGTATTGTCCGTGTGAGGCAGACATTGAAGGGTGCTCCATTGTCTCGCGATGAGGAGGCAGGGATGTGGGCGTCGCCAGCATTCCCGGTGACGGATGAGATGCCATAGTTGGGGTTGGGTGTGAGAAGGAGTGACGAACATGAGAAGGCGTTGGCAGGCCATGCGGACGCGCTGTATGACTCGTGCTGAGCGGTGAGAGGACTTTGGTATCTGGACGCTTCCGGCCAGATGGGGCTGTGTTCTTGCGCTTGAGGCTCGGCCGCTCAGGTTCGTTCATGCTGTTAGCACGAGGCGCGTAAAGATCGTGGCCCGTATAGGTGTCTGTGGTGAAGTCGACAATCACATCAGAAAGGCTCAAATTTGCCGCGTCAAAGTTGAAGGTCTGGCCGCCGGGCCCGCCAATGTTTGAGTAGCGATCGAAAAAATCCTCAAGGTGAAATGCCGGAGAATATCGCATAGGATTGTTTGCAAGGCTTTTGACCAGTTCAGAATGAGCATTGTAGATTCCTTGCAGTGTTTCCCTCTGATGTTGGACACTTGCCCAAGCGTATCGAAGCTCGCTCAGCTGCTGCATCTCTCTGGACAGAAAGTCTGCTGACATGCTGAACACAGTCGAGTCACCATTGCCATTCTTGTTGTAGTGGGCACCGTGAATATGGACTGTGCCAGCGGTGCAAATGCAATAGCCAACGAAGGCCGGCCATTCGATCGTGCCGGTCTGCTTTCCGAGTTCGACAAGCTCGGAAATGGCGTTCGCGTGCAAGAAGCACATGTTTGTTGCTTCAATCTGCCAAGATTGGTGCTGACCGGTTCCAGCGAGCTCGGCCAGGTCGATGGGTAGAAATGGTCGGTAGATGAGGCAGTGAATCAAGTGGTAAATGAGTTTGCTGAGGACTAGAATCGTCGAATCGGGCTGACCGAACAGCGTGTCGAGACTTGAGAAAACGTCCTCGGTGCCGGAAGCCCATATGTCCAAATCTTGACGGATCTTAGACAGATTTGAGAGTGAGTGCCACGGGAAATGCGAGTCGCCCTTCACACCCCCAGCAGCTAGGTAGCGATTTGTTATGCCGAGAATCCGGCTGATGTCGATGAGCATTCCCGTGCTACCTTGAGACTTCTTCCCGCTTCCCTGAAGGAACTGCAGATTAGACCCAGACTGAAAGAACTCGCCGTCGATTGGTGGTACTGAAGGGTTCGGTGACCAACACGGAAGCCGGAGAAGGATAGTCTTGTCGCCGATGAGAGATGGACGCTTAGAGCCGCATGCCAGGAAACGGTCGAGTAAGTAACATGTCCAGAAAAGTCTCCTCCTCATTTCTCGCTCGACTGGCGTTACACGTGCATTGTTGTCCATCTCGCGATGAGTTTCGAGAGCCATTGCCATTCCAACTGCATTTGCTGCGCAACAAGTTAGCACATCACTCTCTTATGTGGCTCCTAACCTCCGTGACCTACTCATCAGCATATACGCCTTCTTGCCTTTCCCTGCTGCCGTGAAGGCAATGACCAGCAGAAGCAGAGCCTGCAAGGCGTCGACGGAAGGCTCATCAGTGTCAATCTCTGCTCTTGCACGTGAAGCGAAGTCTCCACTCAGATGTACAGCTGACTGGTAGCCACTAGGATGCGGTGTGTATCTACCCATCTGGTCAGCGGTTTCAATGATTTGTTGACGCTCATCCTTACCTTGCAGCAACGGCATAAATGCCGTGAACCAAGTAATTCGGTAATTGGTTTAATTGGAGCCGTTGCCGGACAGATGACTCGTCTAAAATGTGGTAGGGCTTGGAGTGAAACCGCGAGAAGTAGGTTTCTAGCAACGCGTCGGGTTGGACGGTGGGTGGTGAAGGCTCACTGGCAAAGTCAGTCCATCCGTCCAGCTGGGATTCTGCTCAAACATCATGACCTACCTTGCCGGAGCTGGCGAGTAAACAGCAGACTCGTCGGCGTCAACTTTCGTGTCCAATGCTATACGCTTGGGATTTGGGTCATCGTCGGGAATGTCGTCTGCTCGTGAGGTTTCTTCGTCCTTGATTCCTGCGGTAGTCGGCGTGGTCGGAGTCTGCTCCCCAGCATTCTTCTCTTTCAATTTTGCCTCCAACCCATCGACCCTCTTCAACAGTGCTTCCAACACATCTGTCTTTGGCCCACGCTTTTTGGGCACGGCATCTGAAAGCAAGCGTAAAACACGTCAGCCAACTCAAACCTTCCCTGGTTCCATCTTCTTGTCTCTAAGCATGTCAAAGGTTGGCTCACCATATACGCAAGGGCACTGGAAAACTTGACAGGCCTCACAGGATGGGCGTAGCCGGTTACACTTGATCTAGTGGTTATATTAAGTCAGACAGCGGCTCCTATAATTTCGTGAAAGACCCTGCCCTGGGCGAGGCTGACAGGTCGTCATGCTGTCTCACCTTGCGCTTGCGGCATGACTTGCAGTTCATAGACTCCCGAGGCTCATTGCTTAGTCGCCGGGTCGGTAGGCGTTCGATACCGACTTGAGGACGTGACATGGCCACAGGGTGAATTCCGGGAGGGGGAATTCCGTTTATTGATTCGTATACAGACATCGACATCATCCAAAAGATCGGGTCGATGATTGTAAAAAGGGATCTAGGGTCGTCAAATGGTTCGGAGCGGCGCCGGCAGACGTGGGGTGAAAATCAGTTGTTTTCAGCAAGCCGAGTAGCTAGCGTAGGCCGGTTGGAAGGCAAAGCTGTTGTTGATCAGGTCATATCGAGGTGACTTCAGAAGAGTCTGGCAGTCGTCTGGCTGGGTTGTCGTGAAGTAGATGAGCTGTGTTGAGAGGCTCACGATGAAGTGCAGAAGCACAGAAACCAGACAAGAAGCCGAGCTAACGGGACAGGATCGGGGACCGGTGAAGTTAAGAAGTAAAGAAAGGTAAAGAGGTTGCCAGGCCGGGCCTAGTTGGTAAAATGATTGTCTTTCCCCCCAGCAGTCGTCTAGGAGTAGACATGTGGAGGTGGCTAGTGCAGCCGACTAGGGTGTGTTCGTCTCTCGTTATTCTTGCGTGCAAAGCAGTTCGGATGCATCAAGCACAAGCAGCAGGGGATCAAAAGGGAACGGTTACAGAACCAGGGGGAAGAGATTGACAAGGAGCTCAAGTCCAATCAAGGTAGAGGAGAAGGGGAGGTTGCACGAAGGGGGCAGGAAAAAAGAGAAGAAGGCGAGCCGGGGTGGTAGCAGTGGACACTGGGCTCTAGAGAGATTCGAGGATGTCTGCCGCCAGGGCCTGGATCACCTCACAAAGTCTGGGAGAGAGTAGGTATAGTGAGAGAGAGAGAGAGAGAGAGAGAGAGAGAGAGAGAGGAATACGTAGTGTACGGATAGGATGGCTGGCAGGTATCAGCTTGGGGGAGGATGAGGAGAAGGAGGCCCAAAGAAAGGACCGAGGGAAGAATGAAGGCGCCAGAAAGAGAGGAATAGAGGGAGAGACTACTTAGAGAGACCACGGAGTGAGACTGCGAGACGACTCGAGAGGAGGCACTCGGAGCAAGTCTGAAGAGGGGGGGGGGGGGGGGGGGGACGATGTTGGGGAAAGATGGGGCAAGGCAGGTTGCTGCTTCGGTAGCGTGGAGGCCGGGGTAGGGGCGGTTTGACCACAGAGGCTTGTCTTGTTCTGTCCAAGGCCTCGATGCGACTGGGGAGCCGGGCTGGTGCTGGCAGACTGGGATGACGCCCGCCGTCCCTTGTCTCGTTTTCCTTCTTTTCTTTCGCTGTGCCCCGGACCAGAGACCCAGTCATCAAAAGACGGGTATCCGCTCTGTATTCGCAAAGCGGCACTGCGAATGGTCATCCCGGAGTACCTGGCCCGGTACTTCCATCCAGGCCTTCCATGGTGTACGGTGTATCCGTACGTACGGAGTACAGAGTACTTGACGAGAAGTGCTCATAAGTCTTTCCAGCCGGTGGGTAGCTATCGACATCTAAGGATACTTCGTCTCCCTCGTCTACCGTATGGTAACTTCCTCGACGTCCGGTGTACACACACAGCCCGACACCGAATCACACATCGATCTCGGACGGCGTTGGATACTGTAGAAAAAGCTGTCATCATTGTCTTGATAGGGCGCAATGGATCGAGGTGGAAGAATGTAGAAGAACATTTAGAGCAATTTTCAAAAGACCCTGGGTAGAGTTAATGAACGACTCGTGGCGAAAGGCTTAAAAAAATAAAATAAAAATAAAACCAGAGCCGGAACTGGGACAGGGCAGATGTAGGCCGCCGCTGCCTTCAACCTTCTTTCTGTACATAAAACAAGTCCCGTCATGCCGTGCCATGTCGTGATACAACAATATCAACAAAACACACCGATTAGCTCTCTGCTTCCTCTGGATAATCCGTGATAGTCTGTCAGCGCTGACTGGTCCGACGAACCATGGACATTGGACAGGAACCCGCGAAGCGCCCGAGCGA